ATTTTATCTATTTATATATGTATTTATTTATATATATGCTGATTATATATTTTTATATGTAGAGTTTCAGATCAGTCACAAATGTTTTATGATACTTAGGATGCTGCCCATTTAGGCAGTGCACAGCAAGACAGTTCACTAGATTTTGGATCAAGCTCATGTCTGGCTTTATCAGATGTATTGTCTTGTGTTTTCATTGCTGTGTGTTTGTCAGCCTGCCTCATTCTTTTGTCTCCCTGCAGGAGGAGCGGCGGGTGGGGGATATGCGCAGGTCATTCCTATGGAGGAGGTGAGTGACTACAGACATCCTGTCTCCCGCTATCACAAAGCCGTTTCCCTAGTATGCCACAACTGATGACAGCCCTTAAAAACACACACAGCCATTGAGACCAAGTAAAATAAAGCGCAAAGTCCAAAACTCTGAGACCACTAGTGAAAATACTTTGGTTTTGTGATTTTCTAATAGATTTTTTTTATCATTACCAATAAATATCAGTATATCATTGTTGAAAAATTTCAAAGGAAAAATAACCTAATTCGGAATTTGTTGTCATATGAAGTAACAGCATGCATGAAAATAATAAGACTTTTTATTTCTAGTTTTATATTATGTTTTTAATCCCATATTTTCTGTTATCTCAGACTTTTGGACAACACTGAACGTGTGTGTGAGAGAGCAGATACTGTCTTTATCAGAAGCTTCAGAAAACAGCTTACTCACTTTATTTTTTTTCCATTCAGTTTAATCTCCACCTCACAGGTGATATCCACGCTATAACCGCAGCCAATAATCTAGTGGCGGCAGCTATCGATGCCCGCATTCTCCATGAAGCTACTCAATCAGACAAGGTAAACAACTGCAATCGTAATGTCACAGAGCAGTCTCCCTGGGCTTTAATATTATGATTCATCAATAGTTAGTGTGTCATTTAAAGAGTATTCTTCCTGATTCTATACAAGTATATAATTGCATATATCACTTCCTAATGCTTTAAGTATTCAGCTATTAGTTGTTTTTGTGTCTTTTAGGCCCTGTACAGCAGACTAGTGCCGTCTGTTAATGGCGTGAGATGTTTCTCTCCTATACAGATGGCTCGCCTACAAGTGAGTGGACAAGACTTTGTACCTCTGACCTTTTTAACTTTTATTGCTTGTTAATACCATCATCATTTGACACAAGTTATTAGGGCAGTGGTTCTCAGAAAACTTCCAAGGGGGCCTCAAGATGATTTAAATAAGACAAAACAAGCATTAAAATAAACCAGAACTACTACATGATATGTCTTACTTTAATGCATCCCTTCAATTTCTTATTTTAATGTATCCCCTTTTTTGCATTGAAGAGCATTGCATTTGGCTTCAATGGTCTTGGAAAGCCAAATTTTAAATCTGTGATTTTTAGACCTGGAAAAGTATTTTGGTGGCCAATATATAGGACGCCAAACAAAATATTTTTCCTTATCTTTAAGACTTATCCAGTAAATGGGAACCCTGAAGAACATTCACCTCTTAAAATGTCTGGAAAACGAAAAATGTGTAATCCACATTGTGGACAATGGGAGGTAATAAAAGATCTGCACTAGAATGTGTAGAAATTTGGAAGCAGTACATCAGATAACCAACAGGGGTCCTCATGCAGCTACTGCGAAAATGAGCAATTCTTTCTTATGAGGCTGTAATTCAAAGCAAGTCTAGCTGTTAACCAGTTTCACTCTTTTTGTTTAAGTAAACAAGTCAAGTGTTGTGTTATGTTGGCTGTGACACAGATAAGCTGAGAGACTCCTCTAAACACAAACTGTTTATCTTTGCTCAGGGACAGGCTGGGTTTACTTACATTTTGGAAAGGCAAAGCTGGTGAATTTACAAGCGAAGGCCAGTGATTCAGAGAGAAATCTAATTAAAAATATAGTCTGAAAGATATTTATGACTACTGGGGCCTCCAATAGCAAAATATTTGCAATTTAGGAAAAATCTCCTAAATTCTTCTTCTGAGTCAAGGCCAAAACTAACTGCAGTAATGAAAATGCTTTAATAGTAGGTTTGTTTCATATGAATGAACAGCTTTTTCATCATAATAATCACTGCACTTGTGTCTGTCTCTTCCTCACCTATGTTTTCAGCGTCTTGGAATAAACAAATCTGACCCCAGTGACCTCACACCAGAAGAGGTCAGGGCATTTGTCCGTCTTGACCTTGACCCTGAGAAGGTCACATGGCAGAGAGGTAGGAGCTTGAGCAATTTAGATTGCTTTACTGTTCTGCATATGGTACATTCTTACAAGAATCCCTCAATGCCTGATGAGTAACAGAAAGAGATTTAGAGATTGTGGTACAGGATATGTGATGCATAAGACAGTGAGATGAAGCATGCAGGATGATGACACAATATGTGACCACTGGAATGCTATTGCCACATTTGACTCTTCTGTTTGAATTGGCTAGTGGGAAAGCACTATAAACTAGCCATTTCGTTACATCTGAGAGCAATTTTTGAGAACTAGTCCCTCTTGAACACATGCAATAACGAGTCTACTCTTCGCACCTGGAAGACATGCCAAATGTAGACCTTCTGCTTTTGGTTATGGCGCAGTGCCGTCTGATAGCTGCGATCACTGGGGGATGAGATTCAGCTGGATTGGGGTGTTTCCCGTTTTACTCGTGGCCGCCTGGGAACATCTGTTGCCTTTAGCCCTACATTCAGAAGATAGTGCTTCAGTGACTGATGGGATATTTACTCTGTCGGTTCAAAAGTGCACACTAAGATGAGGAGCCTGGAAGATTAAGAACAGCTTTACATCTCTCTCCCGCTGCGAAGCCTAATCTGTGTGTGTGTGTGTGTCTGAGAAGCTTTGACAATTCCGTACAACTTTCTCAAAGTTGACATTCATAAATCTAATGTTTTAATCATTAGGGTTTCCCATGGTCCATTATGGGAAGATATCATTGTGAATAATGATCTTCAGACTACATTATCATGGTCTTTCCTTGTTTATTAATCACTCTTCAGATGAAACGTTTTGGCTGTGTTGTATGTTATGCTGTACTTCATGTACACTGTTTTCTCACAGATGGATGAATTGAAACAGATACACAAGAGGAATACGAGAGACAGCCAGAAAGCAGACTAAACCACTGTTGTAATTTTTGTTGCCCGTGACATGTTTAAAATGAGGCTTATAATAATTGTTCTGTGTTTCTATGAGAAAATACCAGAGGGTTGAATTTCCCTTCCAACTTGCTGGCCCTTAGGGAGTTGTGTTTGTGTCTCATACTGCACCCTCCTACATTCAGCTTGGCTGCAAGAAAAAAAAATACAAAAAGTCTTAGAGGAATGCATGCTTATTGCAAGGTTATGGTTTCGCTTGGCGTCCATCCCTCTGAGTCTCTTTAGGTCATTGGTTTTTGGGATTCGTTAGATTGCCTCATACATCTCCTCAGCAGTGACTGCAAAATCTGTCCAGCTGAGTTCCCTCCTGACGTGATTCTCTCCAGTAGTTGTCTTTAAGCACAGCGCTGCTACGCTTGAGCAGATAGAACAAGCCAACCAATGTGATCTAATTGCAGCTTCATGAAAAAAATACTGCTTTTATAAAAATAAATAAATAAATAAATCCTAAATCTTGAAATCTATCAATTGCAATAGGTTTGAAATGCTTTACGTTTCTATCATTATTAGTGAGGTTAAAGAAAAAATTCACCCAGATATGGGAATTGTCATTATTATGTCAAAACTGTTCGGTTGCTCTATTGATCTTATTCATAAAACGGGTCTGGATGATTTCTTCACGATTCATACTAATCTGATTACTAATCAGTTTACCAACTCAATGATCTGGATGCAATAGTTAAAAGTTCATTTGCATGGAGAATTGAGAGTGACACTTAAAATAAAGACAGAAGTTCCCCAATAAGTGAACTGTCCAATAACTTTTTTTAGAATTTGATTGACAAAAAAAAAAAAAAAAGAAGAGCAGTTGACAAATGGACAAAAAAGGAATTGGCAAATGGCCAAAGAAAAACAACTGGCAATTTTTTTTTTCTTTAAAATACAACTTAAAATGTGCTTCTAAAAATTATTTATTAATTTACTATTTTACTCTTATTTAAGTATATTTCAAAACAAAAGAAATAGAGAACTTAAGTGTTGAATCATGTCTCTTAATTTTTCAATTTAAAGTTATTTATTTCCCTTTTATGTTTGAATAGATAAATTGATAACTCAGTCCTTCTTATTTTTAAGTGTCACTCTCAGTCCTCCGTACATTGAAGATGATCAGTGAATAGTGACACAAATCATAGTGCTTCACGCAACTTGGAATATAGTGCACCAATCATGTTGACTACTTTTATGGTCTTTTACAGTCTTTTACTGTATTTCCTTTTATAGCTTGAAAGCTTTTCTCATTTATTGTAAATGTATGGAAATGAGTGACAAGTACATCCTTAATTTCTCCTTATGTGTTTTAATGGAAGATAGAAAGTCATACAGGTTTGGAATGACATGAGAATGAGTAAATGAGCACACAATTTATTTTTGGGTGAACTGTCCTAAGGTAAAAGCTTCATTCTGGTTTCACTCTTAACATATGTTTTCCTGTTTCAAATAGTTGTTGATACCAATGACCGATTTCTGCGTAAGATCACTGTTGGTCAGGCCAACACAGAAAAAGGCCATGCTCGCCAGGTATGTGCTTCATATTTCTGATTCAATTAACCTACAGTCAAATGTGAGTGTAGAAGTTTTGTCACTTTTCCTCAATGATTATATATCTCGCTTTCTCTATTCCCTCTCTCACTTTTCTGTCTATTTCCCTTAGCTGGAATCTGTTAAGTCTTGCAGTATATTAGCGGCTGTCAGAAATGATGACTTTTAAAACAAATCAGGCAGATAACAGTGTGCACCTTAATGGGAAACAGTCTAAGTAAAAGCAAATGTTTCAAAAAAGGCGTTACTGCGCACATACTGTAGCAAACCCTTTGAGCTGGTCAATCATGTGCTTATTTTCGTCTCCCTCCCACTGTACCAAAACCACTGAAATGTCCACTACAGCCTAGTACTTTGTTCTTGAGCAACATACAGTATAATATACAGTATGTGCATTTTAAAAAGACAGTGAGAGTGTGTGTTTGAAATTTTAAAAAACACTTAAGCATGTTACTTCAGGCTTTGCAATCATTGAGTAAGGCTAGATCATCTCAACATTTAGGGTGCTGTAAATGCAGTTAAATGGCAAGTAATAATGACACAAGTGGTGTGTATTAAGTGGCCCATCTCTCCTGATGGGGCATCTGGACACCACTCCCAGCTGTTTTATTGGGGGAGTATTTATTAGCTGAGAGTTAAACCAGGACAGCTTGGTTTTACTCCAGCTGGGGTTGTCTTGGACACATGTGGGAGCAGTTTACTGTATGTGATAAAGAACCAGACTTGGAAGATGTTGCGTGCGTGGGTCTTTTGACAGATTTCTCCACTCTCTATATCATGACGACTTATTTTGATAGAAATCACCTAAATCATCACTGTGATGTGTTTGTGTGCTGGTCAATATGTGATCTTCCCCTCTCGTTCTTACAGACCCAGTTTGATATTGCGGTGGCCAGTGAGATCATGGCTATCCTTGCTCTGACAGATGGACTGGCTGATATGCGGGCCAGGCTGGGACGTATGGTTGTGGGCAGCAGCAGAAACGGCCAGTCGATCACTGCAGATGACTTGGTGTGTGTGAGAGAGAGAGCGCGCAGTTAACTACCTATAAATTGATCAAAAGTCACAGAAATTAATGCTGTTCTTTTGAAATTTCTATTCATCAAAGAATCCTAAAAAAAAATGCATCGTTTCCAAAAAAAATTAAGAAACACTATTTTCAGCTCAAATTTGGAACAATCACTGCTAAAAAAAAACAACAACTTTGCCATCAAAGGAATAAATTGCATTTTGAAATGTTATAATAGAAAACAATTATTTTAAATGGTAATATTTAATAATATTACACTACCTATAAATTGATCAAAAGTCACAGAAATTAATGCTGTTCTTTTGAAATTTCTATTCATCAAAGAATCCTAAAAAAAAATGCATCGTTTCCAAAAAAAATTAAGAAACACTATTTTCAGCTCAAATTTGGAACAATCACTGCTAAAAAAAACAACAACTTTGCCATCAAAGGAATAAATTGCATTTTGAAATGTTATAATAGAAAACAATTATTTTAAATGGTAATATTTAATAATATTACTGTTTTTACTGTATTTTTGATCAAAGGAATAAATTGCATTTTGAAATGTTATAATAGAAAACAATTATTTTAAATGGTAATATTTAATAATATTACTGTTTTTACTGTATTTTTAGTGTGAGCGTAAGAGACTTATTTCAAGAACATTTAAAAAATCTTACTATGTGTGTATATAAACAATGATTACAAAATGAAATGTTTAAGTATAATTAAAATATAATTATAATATTGTGAATTGACTGTGAAATATTTTAAATATTGTGAACATATGGTGTTTTCATTCACGTAATTCTAACCCTATGCAATATATAATTCTAAGTTAAATGTAAATGATGTGTATTTGTATTAAATTTACACTGTAAGCAATATGAATAAAACAGGATATTTAGTCATTAATCAAGTCACCAGACAAAATTTCATGATTGTCACAGCAGTTGTTGAATGTTTCTCTGGTAGGGCTATGAACAATATATTTTGACATTTCTTTGCTCTTTGGTTTTCTCAGGGTGTAACCGGGGCTTTGGCAGTCCTCATGAAAGATGCTATCAAACCCACACTGATGCAGACACTGGAGGTGAGACCTCTTCCCTGTTCCTGTACCCCAAACACTCAGTATCTTTTACACAGTCGTTCGCTTGTGTGCTATTTTTCTTATTCTGTCTCCCACACATGCACACGTATCTTGATGGAAACTCCCAAACTTGATACTCTCAGCGTTGGTGAAGTGATAGGATATTCGAGGCATGACACCGAAAACACACACTCATACAGTAATGCATGCACATCTGGTTTTGGTTTTGGCTCAGTGGGAGTGTGTCTGTCTTTCACTGTCACACCCTGAACACCACGAGAAAACTGGAAATGAGAAATTGACAGTGGTGAAAAACCTGATTGTTGGAATGCCTTTCATCTTTGACTTTAAAACATGCTAATGACTAGTGATTGTTGTTTGATGTGTGTGAGATGCATAGAAGTTGCATGTTTGTTGAGAGGGCCACAGAATTGCTTTGTGAAACCTTTCCTGCCTGGTTTCCTGTTTCTCTTGTGAGGAGGAATTGTATCAGAATGAACCAGGCAGCAAAGGGTTGTGGGAATATTCTGTTTGCATGGTGCTATAATGTCCCTGCTGGGATTGGGATATATGCGAGTATGTGTGTGAAGGAGTGAGAGAGGAAGTGTGTGAATGTCGCAACAAGAGGACGTCACATGCATGTGTTCACAGATGGATCTAAGGCTGTTTGATATAGACTAAAGATGTGAGATTTGTCAAGAGTGTTAGGAGAAAATATGTCTCCAGTGTGTGTATGATTTTAGATGCTCTTCAGGGACAAAATTGTCTCCAGAAGTTGTCTAAATGTGACAACCTTCCTTTAGACATTCAAGGACTTCCCAAATATTTTTTCACTTCTATAAAAATGTGAAGAGTATTCTTTCATGGGTAGGGTTAGTCTTTAATATTAACAATTTTTATATATAAAAATAATGCTCTTATTTAGATTTGCTTGGCCAAGTAAACCACTTGTTTGTGTCATGCGACAAATAAATAAATAAAAGTAAACAGTAAATATGTTGACCACTTACTCAAATTGAATGACCCCAAGCTTTTGAACATTAATTTTATTTTTTTTAAGAAATGAGTACTTTATTCAGGAATTATGCATTACATTGATCAAAAGGGACAGTAAAGACTTACATTATTACATAAAGTTTGTTTTCAAATAAAAGCTGTTCTTCTGAATTAATCAAAGAATCCTTAAAATGTGTCATAGTCCACTTTGCCATCACAGGAATAAATTACATTTTAAAACATGTTAAGACAGAAAACGGGTGTTTTATATTTCACAATATTACTGTTTGACTGTATTTTTGATCAAATAAATGTATCCTTGTTTAGCATAAAAAGCCTTTGAACGGGAGTGTATTGACCCAAAATATTATTACATGTGTGCATTGGCTTTGTGATACAGTTACAGAACTATTAATAAAGTTATTATTACTATTAAGATCAAATCAATTTGTAGCTTATGTACTAGTTTAAAAAAAATGGAAGTCATATAGAGTCAATAACTAGATAGTCAGTACAAACATCAAAATAAGACGATCATTTTGCCTAAATAAATAAGCATAACCACCCTGTTCCTATCTACTGTGCTCACTTGGTTTTTCCTGTTTTCTAACTTTCCTTGCATTGGCATGTCAAATCTCTTCTCTTTTCCACACTCACAGGGCAAAGCGCTCCAATCTTTCCGATTCCATTTTTTGATATTATAGTTTTTTTATTTCTGTAAAACTTTTCCAGAGGACAGTTCACTGGAAAACCATGCACACTCTTTCCATCCACAGTCACACATAAAGACCATCACTCGTGCTTTCATATTGACTTGTTGACAGGCTGCCAGATATGTCCACTTTGTGAGCAAATTTGATGCTGTAAATTGATTTATTGACCTTCAGTACTGATTGATTTGGTCTGAGTTGTTTTTAAACCTGTGAAACATATTTAGGTTATAATGAGCTGCACATTGTTAAAATCAGTGTACAGTTAATGTTTGTCACATTTCATCACGTTTATATGAGGGTTCTTAAAGGCCTGTAGTTCAAAACCTCAACTAAATGCATAACTTACTACTCTTTTGTCCAACAGCATAAAATAAAAACATAGTGATAGTAGAAAATGTAGACTCTTACAAACTAAATGCCAAAACACAAACTAATGTTTGATTAAATGAAGCACTCGATAAACCTTTGGCAGGCTTGTGTAGCTAAATAAGGTCATGTCTCAAAATGAGTTTGGTTCACTTACCTCACTTGACTCATTTTCACTTGGCCTTTTGAGTCTTAAAGGTGATGTTAATGTAGAATATTTTGTAATGTTTAGTATATATCAGCACCTGCAGAGGCAGTGAAAGTAGGATGCTGGGATGCAGTGATAAAAGTTTAGATAAATAAAGGAAGGTGGTCTCTTTCCATTTGATGGAGAGCTCTTTTTTTTTTTTTATCAAGTTTTGCATCCTTTTCCTGAATTTAAATGACTTCACCATCACTCTGTTCTTTGTTTTGTTTGTACTCCCTTTTCCATTTTCCTGCACTCTCTCCTTCCTGTCCCTTAAGCTGCTCGTGTCACTTTTCAGTGTTTGGGAAGTTACAGAGGACCTCAGGGTCATCAGTTCAAACCTCATATTTTCACAGAGCTTTAGGTGATTTCCGGCTTATGATGATGAAACAGACATTCCAGACCCATTTAATATTTATTGTTGTTGAATATACAATGGTGCTGACATATAAAATCTCAACCACATGTTTTACACAAAATACTCCGGCATGGAGATTGACCACTTAAACCCTACATCTTGTATTATTTGTCACCAGCTCTTAATTAAAAATTTCTACAGTAATTTTCAGGTAATCTTGAGGCACACCTGCTAATGTGTGATATTTTGAAATGCAGGTGTGACCCGAATGGTTTGCACTGAAATTGTTTGTCTTTGTCATGTCAGGGCACTCCAGTGTTTGTGCATGCTGGACCTTTCGCTAACATCGCCCATGGAAACTCCTCTGTCTTGGCAGACAAGTTGGCTCTTAAACTAGTTGGAGAAGAGGGCTATGTTGGTGAGTGCACACACATACAATATATATACACACAAAAACACATTCAGTCGCACACCACTGCATCTGCTTTTTATAGTCACACGCATTCATTGACCAGAGACAAAGGCTATGTTGGGGGTAAGTTAAAACAACAAGTTTTGAACAGTCTTATGTTTGATATTTATTCAAAACTGCAGTAGTATTGTGTGTAATTTAATGCGGTGAAAGCTGAATTTTCAGCATCATTACTCCAGTCTTCAGTGTCACATGATCCTACAGAAATCATTCTGATATGCTGGACAAACAACAAGCGCTACTCTACACTGCTCAAAACTCGCGTTTGAATAGTCAGTGGCAAATCTTTAAATATAAAAACTTACTTACAGGCTGTGAGTTATGAAGCGCCAGACTGTCCTTGCAAAGTTGGAATTGCCCCACTTTATAGAAACAGACACCGGCATTGTAGGCTATACTCTCCCAGGAAACAGTCCTCATCCTCCATAAAATGCGCTGCACACATCTGAATATTTGGGTTTAACGTTCCGGAACAGTGTTGTAAATACAACTTAACCTGATTTCTAGTTGTGTCCTCTTTTGGAAGGTCAAACAAAGTTTCGCTTTCACAACGAAACACACAGCATCTCCACAACTTTTTTTTTTTTTTTCCCTTAAAATCAATAATTTCTTTAAAAAAAAAAAAAAGACAACCGTTTAAATGGTGTTCAGTTTTGACTCACATGTAGCAACTTGCATTAGGGTATTTTCTAGACTTAAAGGCTAATCATTTAATGTTATACTAAGTGGTATGACTAAGTGGCTAATTGCCTAGTGGTATGAATTGCTATTATGCTAAACTCTGGAGGGGGAAAAGACTGGTTAAATTTTAAAGGGGTCATATGACGTTGCTAAAAAGAACATTTATTTTGTGTATTTGGTGTAATGCAAAGTGTTTATGCGGTTTAAGGTTCAAAAAACATTATTTTCCACATACTGTACATTATTGTTTCTCCTCTATGCCCCGCCTTTCTGAAACGCGTCTATTTTTACAAAGCTCATCGGTCTGAAAAGCGAGGTGTGCTCTGATTGGCCAGCTATCCAGTGCGTTATGATTGGCCGAATACCTCAAGCGTGAGACGGAAATGTTACGCCCCACACATACTGTTGATGCCGTGTCCGGCCGGAGCGACGAGACATAAACATTAAAACCCATTACAAACGAGGCATTTGTTGCATCCAGTGGGGACATAAATGGATTATAATGACTTATACTGTCTTTTTACGCGTTGCGTTGCATCGCGCCGGCGGCTACTCTCCCAAGAAACAGTCCTCCGTAAAATGTGCTGCACACATCTGAATATTTGGGTTAAACTGTTCTGGAACAGTGTTGTAAATACAACTTAACCACTGATTTCTAGTCGTGTCCTCTTTTGGAAGACCAAACAAAGTAGTTTCGCTTTCACAACGAAACGGCGTCACACACCGCGGCCTTGAGTGAGCGGAGGCCGGATGTGCTGCACACATCTGGATATTTGGGTTGAAGTGTTCTGGAACAGTGTTGTAAATACAACTTAACCACTGATTTCTGATATTGTCCTCTTTTGGAAGACCAAACAAAGTAGTTTCGCTTTCACAACGAAACACACAGCATCTCCACAACATGGTGGCAACAATACTACGGCGAGAATCAAAGTTACGCCGCCTTTCTTTGCGTGAACATTTGGGCGGCGTTATGCAAATCTTCCCACATCGTGACGTAGACATGTGGGGGTGTGTTAGAATGAGCTGTTTTAGGTAGGCGTGGTTGACTCTTAACTTTTATAAAGAATATCTCTTTGGATTTGAGACTTTAGTCTTTGCAACTTTACAGATCTTCTTTATGCACCAAGAGCTTGTAACACTCCAAAGAGAAAGGAAAAATTGAAATCGCATCATATGACCCCTTTAACCATTTATAGCTTTGGTTATGTAACATGTGACCACTTAATGCATTAATTGACCATCTTTACATAGTTATGATGACGACTTTGGAATCCAAGGGGAAGAATATTTTACAAGGATATATCATTTCTCAATACCAAATTTTTTATCTTAACCCAGATGTTTGTTTTTTTGTTTTTAATGCTGAACCCATCTAATCCTCTGAGTGCCAGCACACCTGAACATACGTGCCTTGCAAAGCACACACACACACTTGTTATCTCTCCTTCACTTTATCACTTCCTCTCTCCATTTCTCACTCATTCCTTTGCTCCTCTCTATCCTTTTTATTCTCTATCCCTCCCCTGCTCAGCAACATGCCCCAGACACTAAAAGAATGCTGGGAATGGCGGAGGCCCTGTGGTCCACACTAAGAACAGTGTAAGCTTCACCCCCTCATTTAAGGACAAGCTGAAATGTGTAAGCCCAATGAAAACACTGCCTACCTAGTGGCCGAGTTACCGCTTCTAGAATTTCAGTTACTTTTTTGTTACGCCTGAGTTTCTGCCAGTGTGTAAATAGTAAATTCTTCTAAAAGAGCTGCATGATTAATCTAAATAAAACCGAAATCACAATATGGCTTAATGAGATTATCAAATTGCAAAGGCTGCAATTTAATTAAATAAGTGTGATGCATATTTTTGAGTGAAGCGCGGCACTGAGTTTTTATACACAAGTAGCTTAGTGTCTTGAGCTGAGATGTGTATAAAAACTCAGTGCCGATAAACACTACTGTTTTAATATTTCACATTAAAACAGTAGTGTTCCTAATTTTAATGTTTTACTAATAATCATAATTATTATATTATATATCTTATTGCAATTGTAATTTCTTTTTTAAATGACAATTAGGTTTTTTAACCCCTCAAATTGTACAGCCCTAGAAACTTTACTTAGAGGCCTCTGTGGAGCACAGTAAAAAATGAATTGTTTGTTTTACCGCATTGGGAAAGACAAGCAGCTCGGTCTTGTTCTTGAGTTTAAAGTCCATATTAGACTTCAAGCATTCCTGCTGTTTGTTGAGGCTGATGCTCCGAGTTGTTGACTTTTGCAAAATATCAGTGAAGGAGGGGGACATGTGTATGCGTTACCTGATGCCAAGGTATGTGTGGCATGTAGTGTTTTTGCTGTGGGTGAGAGGGAGGATGCTGCCTATCAGCTGATTATACACAACAGATCCGCTTCACAGGAGAACCACCACAGTACTCAGGAAAACCAGAGCAGCATGGTAACCTTTTGTCTACTCAAACAAAAATCACTGCACACAAGCCTCAGACTGATAGATGGTCTGATAGTTCTCTGAAAGTTCCTGCAGGGCAATAACATACTCCCCACCTCACATTCCCTTTGTAAATCTGTACCTGTCTGGTGTGTGGGTGACACGAGACCTGGTGATGTACACTCGTTTAGAGGGAGTCTCATATATGGGTGGTTCAGTTTATTACAGCACCTGGTCGTCCCAAGGTCATGAGTACTGCCTCCAGGATAACACTCTGATTCCATGGTTTTTGGCCTGTTTCACACACATGCATAAGTGAAATTACTACAGATAACTGTAACAGCAGGCTTGTGTTGTGCTTTAATATGTGTTTCTTCTGTGACTCTATACACAAAATGATTTCTTAGTTACTAAGTGTTAAACAGTTGTCAGTATTATACAGTAGGAAACAGTCCATTCAAAATTATAGGTTGAATTTTGTGTTTTAAGAGCTTTGCACCTCCTTCCTTTCTAAACCTACCTTCCTTGCTTCCTTTCCTTCCTAAATATTAATTTCGTTCTTCCCTCCTATCTTTTTTCCTTTCTAGGCACTCCTTCCTTATTACATGCCTTCCTCCTTTCCTTTCCTTCCTTCTTTCCTTCCTTTGCAGTCCTGCCTTCCTTTCTCCTAAACATTCCATCCTTCCTTTCCTCTTTCCTCTCTATTCAGTCCTGCCTTCCTTTCTTCCTTCCTAAACATTCCTTCCTTCTTCCTGTACATGCATGTCTTCCTTCCTTCCTATCTACCTTCCTTCCTTCCTTCCTTCTTTGTTTACTAATTATTCCTTCCTTCGGTCTTAAAAATACCTTCTCTCCTTTCTCGCTTCCTTCCTAAACTTAATCAGTCTCCCTTTTCTTCCAGAGCAGCACTGTTGACACCCTTGACATGCTATCAATACGAAAGCATGAGATTTCTTAAATTCTGTTTAAACACTTGCGGATCTTTCCATCTTATGGTAATTGAAGTACATAAAGTTAACTGTTAGTGACCAAGACCTGATGCATGTGAGACGGAACAAAAGGCTTACCTTCAGGAGATTACCTCCGTTCAAAACCAAATGCCAGACCACCACACACACACACACACACACACACACACACACACACACACACACACTCACAAAAACATGTAGAGCCTCAGAAAATATGCCAGACCTCTCTGGTGGAAATAACAACATTACCCTTCCCATTCCCTCCTGCTCCAAAAGCCTGGGAAGTAGCACAGGAAGCTCACAGGGTTCTGGGAAAAATGGATACGTGGAAATACTCCACATGCTTACTGTTCAATGGCACATATACACATTAATACTGACTAGTTCAAACACAAACAGTGGATATCTCTCATTCACAAAACAAATCAAACTTGCGGGGAAAGGAAAACATCTTAACAAAACCGTTTGTGATGGTCATGTTTTGTACACCACTGTCAGCACTTGAACAGTGAAATGTTTCACTCATTCATGACAGGAGTAACACATATGGAGCACTTACATGCTCACTCTTAAAATGGTTGTGATTATATCCTAATTGAATGAATGTGAATAACTCGCCCTGTAATGCGGGGACAATTTGATTATTGTGTAACTGTAGGTTGCTTTTATTCGTACTTGTGAGAAAGCATGTGCTCTTATCCGGCTCTGTGCAATAATAATAAAGTAATGATACAGAATGTTTGTTTACATAAGTATCCTGCACAGTAGAGCAGTTTTTATATCAAATTCTTATTTGCAAAAGCTCTCAACAATTTATTGTTTAATTTCCTTCTCCTTCCCTGCTCAGTGACGGAGGCTGGCTTTGGTGCTGACATTGGCATGGAGAAGTTCTTCAACATTAAGTGTCGGACGTCTGGGCTCAGACCTGATGTTGTGGTGCTGGTAGCCACTGTTCGGGCTCTGAAGATGCATGGAGGTGGACCAAATGTAAGTGTGTGTGTGCTGCTGTGTGCATATTCACACATCTCTTTATATGCATTAAAGTACATTTCATGTATTTACAACTTTCTGAATATACTGTACATTTTTAAGGTTACAGCTGGTGTACCACTGCCTAAAGAATATATCAATGAGGTAAGCAATGTCTTACTTCAAATGACCATATTTGTAGACTGTATGATTTAGTGATTTAATTTTAGAGCAAGATGTTTTGAACACTTTTTTTTTTTTTTTTT